GGGTGGCTGACTCCTGGCACACATCAGCCACTGGTATTTCCTCTTTCTCTCCTCCTCCAGGTACACCACACCATGGCTATATGTGGGGGATCTTGTCTCCCGTGGCAGTGGGGTTCCTGAGCTATAGGAAGGGCCTAGCAGAGAACAGTGGAAGATGGCCCAAGTCCTTGGGCCCCTGCACCCGCGTGGGAGACCTAGAAGAAGCTCCTGACTCCCGGCTTTGGATCAGCGCAGCTCCAGCCATTGTGGCCAACTGGGGAGTGAACCAATGGATGGAAGACCTCTCTCCCTCTCCTTCTCTCTCTCTCTGTAACTCTGACTTCCAAACAAATAAATAAGTATTTTTTTTAAAAAAAGAAGAATACTGCATCACCATCACCGACACCCCAGGTCACTACGACTTCCCCAAGAACAGGACCATGGGCATCTTGCAGGCACTGCCAGGCTTGCCTTGGCTCTACTGTGGGTGAGAGGTAGGGGTCCCAGGCCAACTCCGAGCTGCGGCTTCCTCCCAGGCAGACTGCACTGTGCTGGTCGTGCCAGGTGGTGTAGACGAGTTTGAGGCTGACATCTCCAAGAATGGGCAGCCGTGGGAGCACATGCCGCTGGCACGGAGCAGCTCGCTGTGGCAATCATCAAGATGGACATCGTGGAGCGGGAGCGGGGAGCTGAAGGCCTGGGACAAGACTGGTTACAGCGCCAGTGCTGTGCTCTGTGTGCCCGTCCGGGGCTGGCAGGGGAGCACATTCCGGAACCCACTGGTAAGGCAAGGACTGCCTGCAGCGGGACCGACTAGACAGGATTTCCCCGGAACGTAAGAGAATTTCCTAGTGAAACAAACGATAGGTGTTATTCTGGAGTCTTCTGGCTCCTCTGTCAAGTGCCGTGGACAGTGTGCGCTCTCCAGGCTGAGCAAGGGCTGGCCGGCCAGGCACTGTCCTTGGTGCTGCAGGCACAGCAACCTGGGAGGCACAACGGCGCCCACGGAGTTGGCGGTCTTGGGAGGAATCATCTGATGGGTGTGACACATGCCGAGAAGAAAATCCCCCACGGAGGCCGGCGCCGCGGCTCACTAGGCTAATCCTCCGCCTTGCGGCGCAGGCACACTGGGTTCTAGTACCGGTTGGGGCGCCGGATTCTGTCCCGGTTGCCCCTCTTCCAGGCCAGTCCTCTGCTGTGGCCCGGGAGGGCAGTGGAGGATGGCCCAAGTGCTTGGGCCCTGCACCCCATGGGAGATCAGGAGAAGCACCTGGCTCCTGCCTTCGGATCAGCGCGGTGTGCCGGCTGCAGTGCGCTGGCCGCAGCAGCCATTGGAGGGTGAACCAACGGCAAAGGAAGACCTTTCTCTCTGTCTCTCTCTCTCACTGTCCACACTGCCTGTCAAAAAAAAAAAAAAAAAAAAAAAAAAAAGAAAGAAAGAAAAAGAAAAAAAAAGAAAATCCCCCACGGAGTGTGGAAAGGTTAAATTACAGTTTTAGTTTAAAGCTCCTAACTCACTTTTGTGATTCTAGAAGAAGGCAATGCCTCATTCTTTTTTTTTTTTTTTTAATTTGACAGAGTTGGCAGTGAGAGAGAGACAGAGAGAAACGTCTTCCTTCCATTGGTTCACTCCCCAAATGGCCGCTACAGCCAGAGCTATGCCGATCCAAAGCCAAGAGCCAGGCGCCTCCTCCTGGTCTCCCTTGCAGGTGCAGGTGCTCAAGCACTTGGGCCATCCTCCACTGCCCTCCCGGGCCACAGCAGAGAGCTGGACTGGAAGAGGAGCAACTGGCACTAGAACCTGACGCCTATATGGGATGCTGGCGCTGCAGGTGGAGGATTAACCAAGTGAGCCATGGTGCCGGCCCCAGCAGTGCCTCGTTCTATAAAACAATGAATGTACTGATGAGCTGAGAAGAGTTTGGCTTTATAGATGGGAAAGGATGAAGAGGAGCAGCAGGTTAAGCTATGCTTGGGGCGCTGGCATCCCATATCAGAGTACTGGCTCCATGTCCCGGTTGCTCCATTTCAGATCCAGCTCGCTGCTAATGCGCCCAGGGAAGCAGCAGACGATGACCCCTGTACTTGGGCCCCTGCACCCACATGGGAGACCCACATGGAGTTCCAGGCTCCTGGCTTAGGCTTGGCATAGCCCAGGTTGTTGTGGCCATTTGGGGAGTGAACCAGCAGATCAGAGATCTCTTCTATTTCCCCTCCTTTCTCGGTCACTCTCTTTCAAATAAATAAATATTTTGAAAAATGATTACTAGGGGGCTGGCATTATGACATAGCAAATAAAGCTTCCGCCACTGACACAGGCATCCCATATGGGTGCTGGTTCTTGTCCCAGCTGTTCCAGTTCTGATCCAGCTCTGTGTAAATGACCTGGGAATAGCAGCAGACGATAGTCCAAGTGCATGGGTCCCTGCCATCCATGTGGGAGACCTGGATGGAGCTCCTGGCTCCTGGTTTTGGCCTGGTGCAGCCCCGGCCATTGCAGCCACTTACGATGTGAACCAGTGGATTGAAGATCTCCTTTTCTCTGTCTCTCCCTCTCTCTCTGTAACTCTGCCTTTCAAATAAATAAATAAATAAATAAATAAATACATCTTTTTTAATAAAAAAATCGCACTAGATTTTTCAAAGCCCCCTACTGCTGACCCCTGATCCATACTTCAGTAAGAGTTAGATACTTATAGAAACAATCATTTTCTTCCTCAGGCTACCAATGTTTGAGTCTGTGAGACAGGATGCGCCCTGTGTATCTTCTGTATTAAATATCTCGGGGCTGCTGCTGTGGCGCAGTGGGTTAAAGCCCTGCCTGAAGCACCAGCATCCCATATGGGCACCAATTCGAATCCTGGCTGCTCCTCTTCCAATCCAGCTCTCTGTTATGGCCTGGGAAAGCAGTGGAAGATGGCCCAAGTCCTTGGGCCCCTGCACTCACGTGGGAGACCCAGAAGAAGCTCCTGGCTCCCGGCTTCAGATCAGTGCAGCTCCAGCCATTGCAGCCATGTGGGGAGTGAACCAGCAGATGGAAGACTTCTCTCTCTGTCTCTACCTCTCTCTGTGGCTCTGTCTTTCAAATAAATAAAATAAAAATAAAAAATAAAAAAAAATCTCTGCTGGTCCTCCAGGGAAGATTTTCCTTGCCTAGTTCCTTCTCCCACCCACCAAAGTCTTCCTTGATCCCTGGTCTCTGTCCCCCACCCTTTTGCCTTCTGCAACTTGGAGTCGGGTGAATCCTCCAAAGAGGCAACTGCCAGATTCCCAGTTATGGGATCCACCTGGTGGGTCGGGACGGGCGTGGGGCAGTGCTGGTGCTCAGGGCTGTGGGCGTTGGAGGGGTGGCCGTGCCCCAGTAGGAACACTGTCCCTGTGATCTTCGCTGAGGGCAGCAGGACAGTCGGGAACTCAGGCAAAAAGAGCTGGTGTGAAACGTTCATGCTTTCAACCATTGTAACCAAAGATCTTCAACGTCACTGCCTCACTCTTCTCATGTGAAAAATGGGTCTGATGAGGTCCACTGTGGCTTGGCAGGAGAATTACCATGAGCTGCCATGTACAACTCCAGTTATCATTTATTAGGCAGACAGTTGGCCCAGCGATTAGGACACCTGCAACCCTGGGATTGATTCCAATTCCAGCTTCCTGTCAATGCAGAGTCTGGGAGGGAGCAGCTGATGGCGCAAGTAGTTGGGTCCCTAGGAACTACGTAGGAGACCCCGACTGAGTTCTTGGTTCCCAGGCTCAGTCAGGCCTAGACCTGGCCAATGTGGACTTTCCAAGAGGTTTTTTAAATTTCTTTTTGAAGGGGGGGGCACGAGCTCCCATCTTCTGGTTCACTCCCCAAATGCCTAGAACTATCAAGGCTTGGCCAGGTCAAAGCCAGCAGCCAGTAACTCCACCTGGTCTCCCACTTGGCTAGCAAGGACCCAAGCACCTAAGGCCTCACCACTGCCTCCCAGGGTGAGCATTAAAAGGAAAGTGAATAGGAAGTGAAGGCAGGACTTGATCCCAGGCACGCCGAGAACAAGAGAAGAGGTTGCCCAAGTGGTATTTCTTTTTTTTTTTTAAGATTTATTTGTTGGAGGCCGGCGCCGCGGCTCACTAGGCTAATCCTCCACCTTGTGGCGCTGGCATACCGGGTTCTAGTCCCAGTCGGGGCGCCGGATTCCGTCCCGGTTTCCCCCCTTCCAGGCCAGCTCTCTGCTGTGGCCAGGGAGTGCAGTGGAGGATGGCCCAGGTGCTTGGGACCTGCACCCCACGGGAGACCAGGATAAGTACCTGGCTCCTGCCATCGGATCAGCGCGGTGCGCTGGCCGCAGCTTGCCGGCCGCGGCGGCCATTGGAGGGTGAACCAACGGCAAAGGAAGACCTTTCTCTCTGTCTCTCTCTCTCACTGTCCACTCTGCCTGTCAAAAAAAAAAAAAAAGATTTATTTGTTGGGGCTGGCACTGTGGCATAGCAGGTAAAGTGCCGGCATCCCTTATGGGCTCTGATTTGAGACCTGGCTGCTTCAGTTCTGATCCAGCTCTGCTTTGGCCTGAGAAAGCAGTAGAAGATGACTCAAGTGCTTGGAGCCCTGCACCCATGTGGGAGACCCAGAAGAAGCTCCTGGCTCCTGGCTGCAGGCTGACCCAGACCAGGCCATGGAGGCCACTTGGGGAGTGAACCAGCGGATGGAAGACCTCTCCTCTCTCTCTCTCTCTCTCCTGCATCTCTGCAACTCAGTCTCTAGGCAGCAGAACCCACTACACCACATTGCGGTCCCAGATCATCACTCTTTTAAACCCACCACTGCATTGGAGTTGTGCACAGCTCACATTGTGACAGAATCAATCTGCACAGCTGATTTAACGTGGTCTTGGCAATGTTATCACGCAAGATCCATCTGGTGCGGAGACTGTGCGGGGAGAGAGGGTCAAGGGGGTTCAGTTGTCAAACTGTTTTTGGAAATCCTGGGTCCTGCCTGCAGTTCCAGTACCGTCCGCTAGGGGTAAGGCGGCGCCACAGCGCCGCGCCTCGCCAGACGCGCCTCTCTGCCTCTCCCTCTCGCTAGTTAGCTTGGGACGAGAGCACGCCTCCCGGCCCATAAGGCGCTGGGCCGGAAAACCCGCCCTCTCTTCCTGTTCTCCATCATGGCGGTGAGTAGCTTCGGCCTGCGTTCGCTTGCCTTCATCCGTGTCCATCCATGGCTGGCCGGGCCCGGGGCCACTGCTTTGCTCGCAGCCCGAGGAGCACGGGGCCCACGACGCTGGCCGGGCCGAAACCGGCAGGGCCGTGCGGGCCGAGGCCGCAGACTTGGCTCCTGTCACTGCTGCCCACTTCCTAGGAGCGGGCTTGGAGCGGCCGCCCAGAGGGCTGGCAGGCATGGCCGTGGGCTGGCGCGAGGGCGAGGGGCGCGCCGCGGGCCCCCAGACACGGGGTCTGGGCCGTGCCCCGCAGCCCGGTGCTCGGCAGCCCTGGGTTTCTGCTTAGCGGGGGGCGCTAGCCAGGCCTCTCGCCTCGGGCAGCTTCGAAAGGGGTGGGGGGCGTCGCGTAGCCACGTGTTTCCTCGCCAGTTCTGCGCCCTCCCGCCCTGCCTTTAATCGGCCGTAGAGTGGGGGCGCTTGGTCTCCTGCTTACCGAGCCCCTGGCGGTCGTCCGAGGCGTCTGGGGCTTTAACCCGCGTCGCCTGCGCTGTGTTTGCGGCCACCGTGCGCCCCGGGGTGGAGAGGGACGGACGCTCCCGGGCTGGGCCCGGCCGGGTGCTCAGTGCCGCGCTCCCCTGTTGCAGCAGGACCAAGGTGAGAAGGAGAACCCCATGCGGGAACTTCGCATCCGCAAGCTCTGCCTCAACATCTGTGTGGGCGAGAGTGGAGACAGACTGACCCGGGCGGCCAAGGTGTTGGAGCAGCTCACAGGCCAGACCCCTGTGTTTTCCAAAGGTGAGTGCTGGCGGCCCGGCGCGCCTGGGCGGGCACCCGCATGCCAGTGACAGGCCGGCTCCCCTAGAAGCATCCTGGGAGTTTGTGGTGCCAGAGCACCGTGCTTCACGTGAGCAGGTTCAAGCTCAGAGGAGCCCAGGTCAAGGTTTCCCAAGTAACCAGGATGTTGTGAAAAGGGGTTGGGCCTCGGCGCAGGCACACCGGGTTCTAGTCCCGGTTGGAGCGCCGGATTCTGTCCCGGTTGCCCCTCTTCCAGGCCAGCTCTCTGCTGTGGCCAGGGAGTGCAGTGGAGGATGGCCCAGGTGCTTGGGCCCTGCACCCCATGGGAGACCAGGAAAAGCACCTGGCTCCTGGCTCCTGCCATCGGATCAGCGCGGTGCGGCGGCCATTGGAGGGTGAACCAACGGCAAAGGAAGACCTTTCTCTCTGTCTGTCTCACTGTCCACTCTGCATGTCAAAAAAAAAAAAAAAAGGGTTGGGCCTGATCAGGGGTTAGGGCCTTGTAGGCTGCATTACAGACAGGGCTGTGTACCTACATAGCACGGGTTCCAGTCCCGGCTCCACCACGCCTAGTCTGTTGCTTTGGGCTGTCTCGACCTCAGCTTCTATATTAGTGTGAAGTGGAGAGTGGGACGTGCCTCGTGAGATTGAGGATGGGTTCGTCTGTGAGGTGCAGGATTCGCAGTGCTTGTGTTCTGCCTGTTACAAGCTGTGATCCTGGACGAGTAATTAACCTCAAAGACCCCGTTTGCAAAGTGGGGATAGGAATGCAGTACTGGCAAGGATTAGCTCTTGGTAACATTTTATTGAGACTGCGGTGACAGTGGCCTGACTTGGGAGCCTCTCTGGCCTGTTCTGGCTGTGAACTTGGCGCCCCTGACACTTGGATGTTAGCGTTTTGAGGTCTTGGTTGCTAAAATATGGCTGGATTATTTGGAAGCTTGCTGTGGGTGAAATGGAGCCGTGAGTGGACCTCCGCCTTGGAGAGTGTGGGTGGGTAGTTAAAGGCTCTGGTGGAGATGGTGCTGAGGGACACGGGAGGGCAGTGGGGCCGTGGCAACTCCTGACCCCTTGTTACGCCTGCCTGCAGCCAGGTACACTGTCAGGTCCTTCGGCATCAGGAGGAACGAGAAGATCGCCGTCCACTGCACAGTCCGCGGGGCCAAGGCAGAAGAGATCCTGGAGAAGGGTCTGAAGGTGAGGCCGCACTGTCCTTGGGCGCCCTGCTAGCTTATTGTCCCTTTGATGGGGCTTTCTCTACGCTGAAACTGTCCTCTGGTGGTTCAGAACGTGACCTAGGGGTCCCTTTTGTGCCTCTGCTTTCGTGGGTTTTCCCTGCCCTTCGAAAGTTGGGCAGTTTCAGTGGGAACTGTAGTTGGGGTGTGGTTTGCTGTAGTGGGGGATTAAGGCTGTGTTCCGAGCCAAGTTGCATTGAATTTCATGTTTGCTGTGGGGTGCTAAGTGTTATTTTGGAAGGAACTAAAAATGACAATGAATGTGGTTGTTTTCCCCTCAGGTGCGGGAGTATGAGTTAAGGAAAAATAACTTCTCAGATACTGGAAACTTTGGTTTTGGGATCCAGGAACACATCGATCTGGGAATCAAATATGACCCAAGCATCGGCATCTACGGCCTGGACTTCTACGTGGTATGAATGTGTCACTCGAGGGGAGCCTGGTTTTTGTGTGTGCCATCTTGGTGTTCATGTGTTGGCTTGGAGCTTTGCGTATCGCCTGTGTGTTCTCCCCCTTGGCAGGAAGCGCCTCGCTACGGCAAGTGTAGGGGTTCAGTGTGAGCCTGGTAGACGAGGACCTGGGTGTTGAGAAGTTTACTTACAGTCTAGGACCTGTCGGGCACCAGCATGGCGCCAAGGTGCATGGAGGAAGTGTCCGTCCAGCCAGGGAATGGGAGGGGTGCTGCTTCCTGAGGAGGGGGCTGCTAATACAGATAGAGCCGTGTGCGTTCCTGCCATGTCTTAATCCAAATGTAAAACTAAGTGTTCAGACATGGGAGGAGCAAGATGTATATTAGTGCTTCTCAGAATTATTTTTAAGTTCTCTATAGAGCGCATGTTGGGAAAGATCTTTTGTTACTTTTAAAAAAAGAAAAGTGCTCTGGAGATTGAGCGGTAGTGGAGGGTCCTTGGCACCATTGGAAGTTAGAAAGTTCCAGACTGTGAAACCGATCTGTACTGTGGCGGCGGTGTGTGGCCTGGGGGGCTGGTGACAGTTCTGTCAGTCCGTGGGTCTTGCTTCAGAACCCTCTGGGCAGCCGAGCGACTAGCTCAGGCTCCAGCGTGTGTCTTGTCTGTCCGCTCCTGAGTCCGAGCTGGCCAGGTGACTGTTGGTTATTCCTGGGACAGGTGCTGGGTAGGCCAGGTTTCAGCATCGCAGACAAGAAGCGCAGGACAGGCTGCATTGGGGCCAAACACAGAATCAGCAAAGAGGAGGCCATGCGCTGGTTCCAGCAGAAGGTAACCGTCGTTTATCCCCAGTGGCGGGGTGTGGCATTGGTGAACAGAGTTGGGTTTGGGGGTGCAGAATGTAGCACCCTTTGGTGGGGAGCTTCTTTGAAGATAGGCTGTTTGGGCAGCTTGGCAGATGGGGGCTCCTGGGGTCAGTGGTTTACAAGAACAGCCAGAGCTAGGGCTTCTCCCCGCCTCATCGTGGGCAACTAGAAGGGAGGCTTCAAGGGAGTCCCTTTTTCTTGGGTTGTAGTGCAGCTGAGCAGTGTAGCAGTTGAAGCCAGCCGCCTGTTAAGTCCTGAAACAATGTGGGATTTGGAGCCAAAGTTCATGTATCAGAGTTAAATTTTCAAGTACTAGCCATTGCTGAATTGTTGCTGTTGCTGCTTGTTCTGAAAAAACCAAATCTCTTCTCTTTCAGTATGATGGGATCATCCTTCCTGGCAAATAAATTTCCGTTTCTATCCAAAAGGCCAATAAAATGTTTTCAGTGAAATATGCGGTACGGTTGTGTGTTTCTGTGCGCGGAGCCTGGCCTTACTCGAGTCCTTGGACCTCAAGCCACTTAAAGCTGCGTTGGGAATAGCTGGTAACAGCCCTGCCGCCCCGATGGGATGCCAGGTTTCCTGGCAGCGCCAAGCCCGCCCTGTAGTGCAGCCTGTGCAGTGGCCCCTGTGAGCTGGTTCTAGTGGGGCGGGGGTGGCGGGGGATTGGATTTCAAGCCTTGGGTCAAGGCAGTGCCCGGTGCCCTGCACTCTGGGGCTGTGTTCTCTGGTGGGTTCTTAGCCCTGCTGTGCAGTGAAGGGACACAGACTTTGGTATGATGCTTGCATAGTTTTTGGTTTAACTGTTGAGGCTCGGGTCTGCTGTGAAAGGAAGAGACTTTCTAGGGCTGCTGAGGGACCAGGCTGAGGAGAGGGCAGTCTTTTGAGGCGGATCGTCTGGATTTGATTTCCAGCGCGGCCTTTTCCTGCGTCACCTTGAATAAGTTAGTAATAGACCCCAGTTTGCTTCTCTACGAGAGCAGTGAAAATAGCAGCGTCCCTCAGAATGTTACGTGGCTTGATGGCTCGTGCGGTGCTTAGGCTAGTGCCTTGCTCAGTGCAGGGGCGGGGTATTTTGTCTGTGTGTGTCCGGATCTAAGAAACGTTAGCTTTGGCGTGAAGATGGAATTTTTGTGCCTGTGGTGATTTTCTAGATGAGTGAAACAATGACGTTCAGAAGCCACCACTTCTCTGACTAACCCAGTAGTTGGACATTGATTGATTTTTGGTTTTGGGTTTAAATTTTGAACACATGTTAATTCATCTCAATAATGTACTCATTTGGGACTGAGTTCAGCTGTTCTCTGGCCACACTGTTAAATGTTTTAAGATTTATTTTATTTGTTTGAAAGGATTACAGACAGGTAGAGAAGGAGAGGTCTTCCATTGGCTCGTCCAGGAGCCAGGAGCTTTCTTCAGGCCTCCCATGTGGGTGCAGGTGCCCAAGGATTTGGCCCATCCTCCGTTGCTTTCCCAAGTGCATTAGCAGGAAGCTGTACTGGAAGTGGAGCAGCCAGTGCCCATATGGGATGCTGGCCTGGGGCTTTAACCTGCTGTGGCACAGTGGGTTAATGCCCTGGCCTGAAGCACCCATCCCATATGGGCACTGGCTGCTCTACTTCTGATCCAGCTGTCAGCTATGGCCTGGGAAAGCAGTAGAAGATGGCCCAAGTCCTTGGGCCCCTGCACCTGCATGGGAGACCCAGAAGAAGCTCCTGGCTTCGGATTGGCACAGCTCTGGCCGTTGTGGCAAATTGGGGAGTGAACCATCGGACAGAAGACCTCTCTCTGTGTAACTGACTTTCAAATAAATCTTGTTTTAAAAAATGGTTTTCTAATTTGCTGTCTTTGTGGGTGTTCTAAAACCTGGAGATTACTCTGTGTATCTTTTTGGTTTGCTAATGGAAACATGACCATATCCAGTTGGCTCAAGGAGAGGATTGTACAGTGTGTTGTTGTAAGTTGCACGCAAGTGTCATTCATTCCTCAGTCTTTAGCATAGGGCTAGGGCTACTGCTTCATAAATGAATGAGAAATCTACAGCTGGAATAAACCTGAAGACATAATCGGTGCAATATCATTTTTATGCTATAAACCTGCCTCTTTGAATGGACCTGTGTTTTCTACTTGTTCCGTTGACTTCTCATTTAAAAAAAGAAAATAGGACTTCTGGGCTCCTGACCCTGGCAGAAGCCCTGTTGGGAGCTCAGAGCTCTAACTAATGCCAGGCTGTCTAACTGGCAGTAAGGTTTTGTCAGGAGAGTGTCTGGGGTACTGGGGCAAGTGGGGACATGTCAGAGCCAGTGTAGAGCAGCTGGTGGCAGGATGCTCGCCCCTGTTCTGGTTAGGAGCTTAAGTTCAAATGCATGTCCCACTGGGGTCTAAAGCGTTGTTTGTGGTTGAGCTTGTAGCCAGTGGGTTGAGAGGGTCACCTGGGAGTTTGTGAAACTTGGCCACACCTCAGCCTACTGAACAAGAATCTGCCTTTTAGCAAGAACCAGACAGTACATGCACGTACTATAAAGTAGTAATACCAGTACGGGGGAGGGGAGGGGGCATGATCTCCAAAGAGATTTTAATAAATTTAGTTAAAAAGTTGTTGCCTTGTGGTTATTTTCCCCATTTTGGAAGTGGAGCACTGTTCAGTGGCCCTCTGCCTCAGTGAGTGTCTGGTATCCCTAGCGCACATCTCTGTCCAGTACCAGGCCCAGAAGTACTGCCTGGCTAAAGGAATGTCCTGGGGCAGAGCTCTTGAGCTGGAGCATGACTGCCCAGCCCTGAAACTGGACTGCTGTGGGGTCAGTGTCAGACACTGCTGTTCAGGATAATCCCGCAGGAGCCAGTAAGTAACTGCGGCGGGGATGTGGGCAGGAGGTCCTTGCTGTTGGAGCAAGCCAGTAGGAGGGAGTGGATCAGGTCAGACTAGTGGAGCCAGGGCACAGTCAGCACACCATGGGGCAGAAGCTGAGAGACTTCCTGTATTGTCCCTGACTGCTGACACGTTATAGGCAGTGATGAGAGAACAGACCTGGGTGGAAGCAGTCTACGATTTATTTGAAAGGTGAGTTACAGAGAGGGAAAGCTCTTTCCAAATGGTTGCAACAGCAGGAGCTGAGCCGATCAGGAGCCAGGAACTTCTTCCCGGGCTCCCACATAGGTACAGGGGCCCAAGCACTCGGGCCATCTTCCACAGGCCACAGCAGAGAGCTGGATCAGAAGTGGAGCAGCCAGGACACAAACGCACCCATGTGGGATGCTGGCGCTGCAGGCGGAGGCTTAACCCACTGCGCCCCTGCGCTGGCCCCAGGGCTTCTTGAAGTGTGAATGTGTGTGCACACGACTGAGTCGGTCCGCAGGGGTTGTCTAGGTTAGGTAACTAGTAAAGGACGCATGCTTTTCAATGCTGAGGTCAGGCCCTCCGCCCATTGGAAATAGTGCAGGGGCCCTGGGCTGTTTTTTTGCTTTCTGCAGTTTATTTTCCCATGGTCAGCACATGATGCAATATTTTTATAATTGTTCTAGTTTACTGGCTATGGTTCCGGGCGTCCACTGAGGGTTTTAGAAATGTATGCTGTGTGCATGAGGAGGGTTTACCATAAATGGCAAACATGGGCCACGTCATTAACCTTTTAACATAAGAGGAAATGGTGGTTCGGAGCTATGCCTTTCTTTTGAACAAGCGTGGTGTGTCTTTACAGTGGCTACCTGCTATTCCATCGTAGGAGTGTGTAGGTCATGCCCGTGCAGCTGTCAGTGAATGTCAGGAACATTGTTTTCATAGCAGGGTCTCTGCTCGGACTCTGTCCAGTAAGTACCCATAAGGTCCTTGTGAGGTGTCTTAGCGCCGTTAGATGGTGCAGCGTAGCGGAAGGAATACTAGGCAGGACGAGGTCATCCACTTCCGAATATTTCCCCTGCTAGTAGGACCTCAGGCAGAGGCAAGTGGTGTGGACAGTGGCGGCCTCTGCCTTTTATCTTCTCATTTTTGTGCTTTTTGCCTTTTCCTGCCATGTACCTTCCCACTAGTCCTGATTGGTTCAATTCAGCATGAATGTCTAAGGTGCTACAGTCTACTGGTGGGTGAAGTTCCTAATAAGTAGGCTGCCGGCGGGGCCCGAGTCCTAGAGGGTTAAGGCCCAGGCCGTCTTGGTGAGTGGCTAGGTCAGGGCCCAGAAACCACCCGTAAGTAATTCTGAGCTTCCAGCCCAGCCACTGGGGAGCAAGCTGTGCCTGGGGGTGCAGAGCCACTTCCAGAGCAACTTGTTATGGAAACCGCCGCGAGGTTGTCAGAGGGAGTCCGGCATGAGGCACTGGGGGCTCCAGGCGTGACTTGACAGTACAGGCGCAGGTGGCTTGCTTCTAAAAATCTGTGAACAGAAACGGTGGTTGTAATGGTCCCAGTTCAGTCACGAAGACTTGGCTTTAGGATGTTATGTAATTATAGTTCTCACTATTGGTAGAATTTTAAAGTTTTACTTGAGAGACCAAGAATTCACTACTTTGCGTCTACTCCCCAGATGCCTGCAGCAGCTAGGGCTGAAGCTGGGAGCTGGGAACCTGCTAATCATCCGCCTTATACCAGGTTTCTCAGGTGAATGGGATGGATCCGAGTACTGAAACCATCACCTGCTGCCTCCCACGGTACACATCAGGAAGCTGGATCAGAATGGCACTGGGACTCAAATCCAGGCTCTCCATTCTGGGGTGTGGGTGGTGTTAAATGGCTGCCCTTCAGTGGAGATTTTTATTTTTAATTTTCTAAGGATTTATTTTATTTTGAAAGTCACTGTTAGAGGGAGAGACACAGCCCCCGTATGCTCTGCCAACACATTCCTGAAGACAGCACAAAGCAAGGCTACCAAAAGGTGGAAGTGGTCTGGTCAAAGCTAAAGCTCACCAACCAGTCAAGAACAAAGGTCACAGTGACAGTTTTCTTGGCGATGCCCATGGCATTTTGCTTCTTGACTTTCTGGAGAGCCAAAGATTGATGATGTCTGCTTATTAGGAGAGTATTTTTGGGAAAAGTTAGCTGGGGCCAGCTGCCTGCAACACCAGATCCCGTATGGGCACAGGTTTGAGTCCATATTGATCCAGCTGCCTGCTAACGTGCCTAGGAAAGCCGCGGAAGATGCCCAAGGCCCAGAGGGAGCTCCAGGCTCCAGCCTCGATTGTTGCAGCCATTTGGGGAGTGAACCAGCGGATGGGAGATCTCTGTGTTTCCTCTGTCACTGTGCCTTTCAAAAGACCAGAAAACAAAACCCAAGCTTTAGCAGGAGAACCCCAGGGGAAGTTCCCCGTGAGACTCCTCCCTAGCAGTGTCCCTGCCCGTTGCTCGGCAGACAAGGGTGGTTTTCAGTGGGACGTCGTCGGGTGTCCACCTTACAGCCCCGGTCTGGCACCTTCTGCCTTATTTTTGTTTCCTAACCTTTAAACCCTCTTTAAAGCGCACCCG